TACTAGGTGAAAGTTTACTGTGGTAGGGAAGCTTTCGAACAACCCCCCCAAAAAAAAAGTATCATTTAATGAGGCCAGGTTTGTCTTCAAAAGATCCGAAGGTGAAACATTGGGATGAATTTCGAAGAAACAACTTTTTTTGATAAGTAATAAGGATTTATTAACGCATCCAGCAAAAAAAAATGCTGGAATGTAGTTACAAAAGTGCATTAACACTTCATATCGTGTAATGTAACATGGCTTCAACATCATTTACATTTGCCATGTTACACCAAGAAGAAACAACTAATTTTTACTCATAATAGTTGGTTTTAAGCCATTAAAACCCATCTTCTGTAAAGTTTACAGAAGACTATGTTTTAATTTTTCCAAATATTAAGCTTCAAACTTTATAGGTTCCTCAATGATTTCAGCTTATGGAAAAGATTAAGGAGGCCAACTTGGTAAACCAATTCCTCTAGCACTGTTAAAGATGGACTCAAGATTACTCCGACTCTTGCAAGATATCAGGTGTGCTCGGTTTGAATTTTGAAACTGATTCAAACACTTTATGTATTTTGGTACTAGATAATTGTATAGAAATTAATCAATTATATAAGTAACAGTTTGGTTATTCACTAATAAGTGATTATTCTATACACTGACAGAAATAAGCTAAGCAAAACATATAAAAACTACACGCCAAACAGGATTTTAACATCTTCATCTTCATGAAAACATCATCTTAATGATTTACTTTCTCATCAAACACTCATCTATAGCAAATACTAAATTCATGCTTCCTTCCTACAAATTCTTCAATTTTTAGCGAATTACTCACAACATTTCATTCAATTGATCCAGAAACCAAAAGGGTTTTGTTAACCAAGACAGCCCAATACTAATTGCACTAGAACAGATTCATGTATAGACATTCCATCAAACAGGTAGCAGGCACTGGTCAATCCTAAACGAAACGTACCAAGTGACATTAAATGGGTATAGTTTGAATGCTTCACATATAACGAATAACAATAAAGCAAACCTGAATCAGATGTGTGTTTGGACGAATTCTTTAGGTTTTCCTCACTGAAATTCAGCAGAGCAAATATAGAGAAGAGAGTTGTGTCTTTCTTTCTTTGAATGCGGTCATAAATATAAGAGACGAAGCATTTGAGGGCTCTTCTTGGGCCGCGTCCAATAAGTGAAACCCAAATTTTAAGTAAAAATAGCACGGTATAGCTAGTTTTCGGACTGGTCATTCAAAAATAGTCAGCGTTCACCAAGTTAATAAAAAATAGTCACTATTTTGTTGCAACAGTGACTGGTCCAGCACAATATACTGGAGCTCGGTGCACCTGTGTATGAACTTCCAGCCTGTTATGCTGGACGGGTATACTTTGCTGGCTCCAGTATAATATATTGGAGACTAGAGCACCGATCCTCCAAACTCCAGTATATTATGCTGGATCGGTATATTATACTAGAACTCCAGTATATTATGCTGGAGTATTTTTCCGGATGTTGAATAGTATTTTTGTTCAGATTTATCTTTACAAGAAAAGTGGCTAAATTTCTATTACTTTTAAAATTGTGGCTATTTTTGAATGAACACTGCTACATCTAGCTATTTTTAAATTTCTCCCCTCAAATGGTTCTCAAATTTATGTCAAGACGCGTGTTCTTCTCTATGGAATTTTTGAGCTTGAACTTGGAAGTCCGAAAACAGAGCTAAACCAGGTTTGTTTTATTTTCATAGTACTTGTCATACATCAAAACTTTAGTTGGATACAAATCATAAACAATCCGATATTAGTTTTGCACATAGCAAAAGTTTCTTCTGGGATTGACTAATGCCTGTTACCTATTCGATAGAATGTTTGTATAAGATGTTATTTATGTTCTAGTGATTAGATTGCTAAATTTTGGATTTTATTGAAGTAAAGCACTATAGTTGGGCCTGTTTGTTTGGATTTTTCTTATATGCTGAATAAATCGGTTCTACCAGTATAAAGAATATTTATTTTTTAGTGAATAACTTACTGATATTTTAGAATAATTGATTAGTCTTTAATTAGTTGTCTAGTATTTACGGAAAGAAAAATATCACAATTAATTAAAAATCCAAGCCAGGCAATGTCTGATATTTGTAAATCTCCGAGCTAGTTCTTGAGTCCATTTTGCTAGAGAAGTTCGTTTGCACGTTGCTCAAAATGCTAAGTTGTCATTGTATCCCGCAGTTTTTCCGAACTGGAATGAAGCGAATCATCATTTTCTCTTTGAAGCAAAATAATAAATTGTTAGCAGGTACATACCCTTAATGATATCATTGATGTAAGGCTTTGGCAGAGGCAAATTTCAGACCCGTAGGTCTGAAATTGGAAACTTTAGACCTGTGGATTTCAACTTCAGACCTGCATTGTAAATTTCAGCTATTCTTTAAGTAAGGGGTCCTAAAAACGGCTATTTGTGCACTTCGCTCAATTTATTCATTACTTAAAATTTGAGTTTCACTTATTGGACGCTGCCCAAGAAGAGCCCTCAAATGCTTCTCTCTTATATTTGTGCCACACATTCAGAGAAAGACACAAAATGCTTCTCTATATTTGCTCTGCTGAATTTGAGTAAGGAAAACCTAAAGAGTCGTCCAAATCTAGGTTGCTCGGACTCTTCACTTTTGGTGTCACACCCGTGTCGACACGACATGGGTGTGGGTATGGGATCCGTACCGGATTTAGTCAACCGATTATGGGTGCTTTGACCAAAATCGACTGAAGAATTCGGGACAAATATAATGATTTTTGAAATCAAAACAAAAACGAGGGTGAAATTGAAGAAAATGGAATACCTTGTATATAGAAACTTCTGTGTCAGTCAGTTTCCTTTTATTTTCTTCTTGGATTCTCCTTTTGATCATTAATCTCTCTTTCTCGGAATACCTTGTTAGTTTTCCTCATAATATCTCATAATGTAGTCATATTTTTATAACTCTACTTTTAGATATTTGAATTATTTTTAGCCGAATACCCACACCCGTATTCGTATCTGGATCCGTAACCTCCGAATCTTAAGATTTAGATCATGAAGGATCCAACCTCTAAATTAACACCCGTATCAGACACCCGCACCCGAGTCCGAGCAACTTAGGTCCAAACACACATCTGATTCAGGTTTGCTTTAATGTTACTTGTTATATATGAAGCATTACCCTTTTCAGACCTTAAATATGTCTTGTTAGTCTTGCAAATTTGGTAATTTTCGTTTAGGATTGACCAGTGCTTGCTACCTGTTCGATGGAATGTTAAACATGAACCTGTTTTTAGTGCAATTGGTATTGGGCTGTCTTGATGAAAAAAACCCTTTTGGTTTCTGGATCAATCGAGTGAAATGTTGCGAGTAAATCGCTAAAATTTGAAAGAATTTGTAGGAAGCATGAATTTAGTATTTGCATGTATTTGAGGAGGAAGTAAAACATTAAGATGATGTTTTCATGGAGATGAAGATGTTAAAGCTCTGTTTAGTATGTTGTTTTTATGTGTTTTGCTTAGCTTATTTTTGCTAGCGTTTAGGACAATCACTTATTAGCGAATAACCTAATTTTTACTTATATAATTGGTTAATTCTATTCAATTGTCTTCTACCAGAATACGAAAAAGTGTCTGAATCAGTTTCAAAATCCAAATCAACCACACCCTGATATCTTGCAAGAGTCAGAGTATTCTTGAGTCCATCTTTACCAGTGCTAGAGGAATTGGTTTACCAAGTTTGCCTCCTTAATCTTTTCCATGAGCTGAAATCATTGAGGAACCTATAAAGTACTACGCTTAACATTTGGAAAAATTAAAACAAAGTTTCTGTATTAAATTTAACAGAGGATGGGCTTTAATGGCTTTAAACCAACTTTTATGAGTAAAAATTAGTTGTTTCTTCTTGGTGTAACTTGGCAAATGTGAATGATGTTGAAGCCGAGTTACACCGAGTACATTACACGATGTGAAGTGTTAACGCACTTTTGTAACTAGATTCTATCATTTTCTTTCGGTTGGAGCATTAATAAAATCCTTATTACTCATCAAAAAAAAAAGCTGCTTTATCAAAATTCATGTTACACCCCGTACTTTCATGTTAGAATATGAGCCGGAGAGGTTAAGGACCTTTACAAAGATAACGATGGGTTAAAACAAGTGGTAAGGAAGTATTTTGAGGGCTGGAGGTTAAACGAACCAAAGATGCTACAACCCATACTTTCGAGGTAAAACTAGGAGTACTTAATATTCTAAGGAGGTCGTGTTTTAAGGTAATTGAATCATATAATATTCGTATGTTAATTTTTGAAGTCAAACAAGTTGTAAAATAAAAGTCGACAAAGTAAGTTATAACCCTTGCAATTTTGACGCTCAACTCCTTGAAGCTGTTTTTGCGTGGCAACATCCGTTCCTCTCCATCAAAACCAAGTTTTAAGTATCTCTCTCCCCCAGATTTCGCGAATGGCAAGAAACCCTTGTGCCTTTCTAATGCTGATTTTTGGATGATTTCTGCTTTGTCTGATTGGATTGAGAAAGCCTGCTCAGATTCATATTTTTCTTCTTTGTGATCTTTTATGATATAATTTTCCAATTATTATCTATTTCGCATGTATCGATCTTTCTTTTTGGGCTTTCGTAATCTGTTTTCTGAACAAAAAAAGGAAAAAAAACGAACAAGGTCGTCAGAAATAGAACATTATCTATTCCGTTGATGTGTAGGATACTAGGATGCATATCCTTACATTAATTAATTAACCTACTAGAATATCTAAGCAAGCATTCAACATCGATTGATTTTGAAGTACACCAGTATCTCCCGTAATTAGTATTTCTGTTAACTTAGACCCATAATTGAATCACGACAAGACTTTGGTTTTCTTGGTTTTTGGAATGAAATGGGGCTGAGTAGATGCTACGGAATATATAGCTGGCACCAACTAGCTTAGGATTGAGGCATTATCTAATGATTTTTACTTGGGGATGCACTGTACTTGGAAGAGTAAAAATTGTATTAAAAAATGTGGTTGAAAGATTATACTTTGATTACTTTTTTGGCTGGTTTTTGGTTATCTTTCCACTAACCTTAACTCTTTGTGCTGTTCTCTAGTTTTCTGCCCAGGGTACTGGTAGAGATTAAGGCTAACTTGAAGAGGGGACTCTTCTTTGTTGAGTGCCAATATCATGGCATCCTCTAAGAATGAGGAAAGTGGTGCTCAGGATGCAGCAGAAAGGATTAAGGTTGCAGCCTTGTCAGCTGCAAAGGGTTTGAGTCGTGCTCAGGCTGAGCGCGCCGCTGCTCCTGCTGCTAGAAATGTCAATGCGTATGGCCAGAAGGAAGAAGGACCCAGTCGATGGCAGGAAAGAAAAGAAGCAAAGAGGCAGATGTATTTGATGAGTACTGAGAAACAGGTGAGATTGGGTGAAAGGAAAGACCTCAAGGCTTCAGGTTCCACCCTTGCTGCAGCTTCTCAATGTCAGAAATGTTTCCAGTTAGGGCACTGGACTTATGAGTGCAAGAATGAGAGGGTTTACATATCACGTCCTTCTCGTACACAGCAGCTGAAGAATCCAAAACTGAGGATGAAATTATCAATATCTTATGATCTAGAAAACCCAGATATTGAGAAGGAGAGGAAGAGTGAAAACCCTTCCCACTAGCGAGGGCTATAACGGTAATCGGTAATTACAAGGTGCACCAGGTCTAACGAACCCGCCGTTAGCTACGGGATCCTTCAATATCTACTCCCATTTATACTCGTCTTTGTAATCCGTATATACTCGTAGAAACTATTTTATAACAATATAGGGCATTTCGGTTCTTATCAAATCATATAATTTCCTTTCGATAACAGTAAATTCAAGTAACGATCAAACAGATCTAGTGACAACGAAAATATTTAAAACCACGGTATTCACCTCAAATAACTATTTCGGTATCATATCGAGTAAAAGATTTGTCCCACATGCAACTCAAAATAATCGGTAACATATTCATATTAAAAATCATGTGTAAATCATACAAGTTATGAAAACACAAATTGCGGTAAGATTACTACTCACCGTACTCGTGCCGAAATACCAACTGCTTCACCTCAAGCAACTCGTACAAATTCCTCCAATCAATCTATAATTACATAATATCGATCTCATGTTAATTTCCTTTTTTAAGCTAATTCATAGCTATTTTAGAATACCCCAATCCTCCGAGTTTTATACTTTATCATCAATTCGTCGAATTATATTTACCCATGCTATGAGTAATTTAAATTAGTCCAAAATCTTTTAAGTAAAAATATATTTACAAGGTTTATTCCCTTTACTGTCCAATTTCCTTAATCGTGTGCATAAATTGAAACTGAAATAACTTTACTGTCCATAATATTCCTTCTTAATTAGTACCTATCTTTTGTACTTAATACTAGACTCATAACATTCAAACCCAAATTCACTATTGTCATTGCAACACAGTTAAACACCAAAACTCAAATCCTTGTACCCTAACTTAATTTACACCTAACAAAGATCATATATAATCAGACTAGTTTAAGTACAAATACATCAATACCCTTCTTTTTCCAAGTGAATTTATCCTACAATAACATTGACCAACTTTCAATTGCATAAGTTGCCCAGAATAACTCTAATTGGTATTAAATTTCTTATACCTTGTGAAACCTTTCAAATATATGAATTGAGATAAAAAAATCAGGAGAAAAGAACTTAGATGAGAAATTCGAGTATTACCCGTAAAAACCAGTGTGTATTTAAAATTTCTCAAGATTTGGTTCTAGCCTCTTTCTTCTTCTCCCTTTCTTTCCTTCTCTGTTTTTTTTCTTGTTTCGTTTCTGAAGCTTTCGTCGAACTCGGCAGCCCTTTCTTTTCTGTTAGGCAAATGGGCTTCGGCCCTTTTGCCTTACTTATCTTTTTTTTTTTTTAAAGTTATTTTTGTTGTTATTTTACCAATAAAATAAGGCACGTGAACAGTAAAAAGTTTATATGTGATGTTTTATTTGAACGGTCCAAATTTGATAAATTGATCTAACAATTTAAAATGATTTTTTTTCTTTTTCTTTTTTCCTTTTTTTTCTTTCTTTGTTTTTTCCCCATTTTCCTTAACTAATCTACAGCCTCTTTCATCATTTTCTTGCCAAGTGTTCAACGGAGAAACAAAGAGCAGATACTTGCTTTGCCAAAAACTGAACAATTTTTTCAGCATTTATATAGATCTTCTCTTCCTCCTCAATAGTTCTATTAGCAACTCGATTTAAAAAAAAATTACTCAGATCTGATAAAGATTCATAGCTCATTCACCACTTCAGCCCACACTCACACTCCTGATTCTTGTACCGATTTATGTGCCTCCTCCTTCAGTGAATACCAAACATTTTACTGGTGGAGACAGATTCCTTTTTGAAGAATGTCAAGAATCCAATAGAGATAAAGTTTTGCTTTTGACCATATTTTGCCGTCTGGGTTTTCGTTAACATCCAATCAATTTTATATAGCAAGAGAAATGAGTTTCGGCAGGAAGAGTGACAAGAAAATAGAGGAGGATTATATAATTCTAACCTTTAGAATTATGCATGGACAGGTGACGAATTGAAATCCCCATTGAACATTACCGGAGACCCCGGGTGGGGGAAGGTGCATAATATTTTCTTCTTTTTTAAAAAAAAATTAATCAATTAAAGTTTACTTTAAATATATATTTATTTATAGTTGAAGTTATGACACGTGTTGTATTTTGATTGGTACGTGGTTGCAATCTCCAGATAAAAAACTGGTCAAGAAAAAAGTGGTGTGTCTTAGACATACTTTAGAAAGGTTGAGTGTAGGGGTGTTTATAAAAACACATAAATTGAAACCAAGGGAGTATATTTTTAATCGAGTCCTTCACTATTTGATTCAATTATCATCAATATATCTTGGTAAATAATAAATTTCTCAAAGGGCAATTGATTTGATAGTGTTAAGTTAAAAATGTGATCGCCGAAATATGTGTTTGGTAGTGTATGTTTTATATTTAAGAAAAAACCGAAAAATAACCGAAAAAATCGAAAAACCGACATAAACCGAATCGAGAAAAAACCAACATAATTGGTTTGGTTTGGTTCTAATAGTTAAATAACCGACTTAGTTTGGTTTCTTTTTAGGGAAAAACTGATTCATACCGAACCATGAACACCCTTAGTTGAGTGTGTAAAAGAATGTTCGTGCTCAGAAAGTGCGTCAAAGGGATTTGGTCCTAAGTTCCGGGGGGTAAACTATGTATTTTGCCATTTTATATTCGGTAGCCGAAAAAATATATAAAATTTGTATAGTTTTTGTATATAACATATGAAATGTATCTAAAAACAAACAATATACATTTTTCGGCTATTATTTTGAAAGTGACTATACAATGTTATTTTCCCTAACCAAATGGAATTCTTTCAACTTGACTCGACAGATGGAGGGGAAGCCCTCCAACTCAAGTACGACATCAAAGTTGATCGTAGTCACTATTTTATCTTTTCACTGTTCCAGCAGTAAAGGACAGCTCAGTGCACAAGGCATTCTGTATGTAGGATTCAGGGAAGGGCCGCACCCCAAAGGTGTGATGTAGACAGCTTATTCTAATACAAACATTAGCAGTTGCTTTGACGATTCGAGCATGTGACCTATAGATCATTGTTCTAGCAGTGATTGGGCCTTTTTCTTATAGCTATAAATTGAATAGGTTCCGGAAATAAACTACCAGTCAACGATAGGTTCGGAAAATAAACTATCAGTCAACGATATGGTTTCATTATCAAAATAGATGTATTTCTTTGCCTTTTAGCAGACAAAGAGAGACAATATCGTAGGTTCCAGCAATCTGGCCATCCCAAGCAATCTTTTCTCTGATAAATCTCAACAATATAAGAATTAAAATCTGTCCTACGGAGGAATCTGTTACTTGGACCAATGGCAATTGACTAGTTTTTTCCTTCAAGGAACAAGACAAGTACTAAGAAAGCAGGCAAAAAGTTCTAGAGACTACCTCCAATAGGCTGGATCAAGTTATGCAAGACATAGCAGCAGCTACTCAACTGCAAAATCATCAAATGCTACATACTTTCTCTTGGCAAGTCCAACTAATTCCCAGTAAGGTCAAAGCCACATGGTACAAGTTTAACATTTAAGTCCAACTCCAGAAAAGGACAACTCTAAAAAAAGGGGCAGCCCCACAAAGCATCCCGGCGTTCACGCAGGGTCCGGGGAAGGGTGAACGCCGGGTCCGGGGAAGGGTGAACGCCGGGTCCCAAGGGGGTCTAATGTAGGCAACCTACCATATTGCAAGCATCAGTGGCTGATTCCACGGCTCGAACCCATAACCTACAATTCATACGGAGACAACTTGTCCGTTGCTCCAAGGCTCTCCATCAGAAAAGGACAACTCTGCCAAAGTTAAATGAGTAGGACAATTTCAAGCAGGCAAGAGACAAGAAAGACAGTCAAATACGAGCTGGGAAATGAGTAAGCCAGCAACATGGAAAAAAGAAAATACAAGAGACGACTCTTGCCACGCTGAATTCTACAACCACAACATAAGTTTACAATAAAAACATATTCGTTTGAAACAGCAAATCCTAGTTATCATAGGTGCATTGCTCAAAAGCTCTTTTATCACATGAGAACAGAAATATAAATATTTTCAACGTTAAAGAACCAGATACCACACATCTGATTACTCATATTGTTCAATGTTTCACCGCTTTCTGGTATGCCTCCTGCTGCTCTTCTTACGGCTAGTTCGCTCTTCAGAATCGGACCCAGAATCTGAAGATGAACCAGAAGACTCAGAGGTTGAGCTGTATTTCCGGTGTCTTCTCTTCTTCTGCTGCTGCTTCTTCTTCTTCTTCCTCTTCCTCCTCTCTTCCTCTGAATCAGTTGAAGAACTATAACTTGATTCACTTTCCCCAGAAGAATCATCGGACCTTGTCGCTGATGACGCATCACTGTCAGATTCAAAGACTGAAGCCTCACTATCACTTCCGGACTCTGTATCCGACTTATGCTTCCTCTTACTCTTCTTCACAGATTTTTCACTCTTCCTCTCCTTCTCAATATCTGGGTTTTCAAGATCATAAGATATTGATACTTTCATCCTCAGTTTTGGATTTTTCAGCTGCTGTGTACGAGATGGTCGTGATATGTAAACCCTTTCATTCTTGCACTCATAAGTCCAGTGCCCTGACTGGAAACATTTCTGACATTGAGAAGCTGCAGCAAGGGTGGAACCTGAAGCCTTGAGGTCTTTCCTTTCACCCAATCTCACCTGTTTCTCAGTACTCATCAAATACATCTGCCTCTTTGCTTCTTTTCTTTCCTGCCATCGACTGGGTCCTTCTTCCTTCTGGCCATATGCATTGACATTTCTAGCAGCAGCGGCAGCGGCACGCTCAGCCTGAGCACGACTCAAACCCTTTGCAGCTGACAAGGCTGCAACCTTAATCCTTTCTGCTGCATCCTGAGCACCACTTTCCTCATTCTTAGAGGATGCCATGATATTGGCACTCAACAAAGAAGAGTCCCCTCTTCAAGTTAACCTTAATCTCTACCAGTACCCTGGGCAGAAAACTAGAGAACAGCACAAAGAGTTACGGTTAGTGGAAAGATAACCAAAAACCAGCCAAAACATTAAAGTAATCAAAGTATAATCTTTCAACCACATTTTTTAATACAATTTTTACTCTTCCAAGTACAGTGCATCCCCAAGTAAAAATCATTAGATAATGCCTCAATCCTAAGCTAGTTGGTGTCAGCTATTTATTCCGTAGCATCTACTCAGCCCCAATTCATTCCAAAAACCAAGAAAACCAAAGTCTTGTCGTGATTCAATTATGGGTCTAAGTTAACAGAAATACTAATTACGGGAGGTACAGGTGTACTTCAAAATCAATCGATGTTGAATGCTTGCTTAGATATTCTAGTAGGTTAATTAATTAATTTAAGGATATGCATCCTAGTATCCTACATATCAACGGAATAGATAATGTTCTATTTCTGACAACCTTGTTCGGTTTTTTTTCCTTTTTTCCTAGTTCAGAAAACAGATTACGAAAGCCCAAAAAGAAAGATCGATACATGCGAAATAGATAATAATTGGAAAATTATATCATAAAAGATCGCAAAGAAGAAAAATATGAATCTGACCAGGCTTTCTCAATCCAATTAGACAAAGCAGAAATCATCCAAAAATCAGCATAAGAAAGGCACAAGGGTTTCTTGCCATTCGCGAAATCTGGGGGAGAGAGATACTTACAACTTGGTTTTGATGGAGAGGAACGGATGTTGCTACGCAAAAACAGCTTCAAGGAGTTGAGCGTCAAAATTGCAAGGGTTATAACTTACTTTGCCTACTTTTATTTTACAACTTGTTTGACTTCAAAAATTAACATACGAATATTATATGATTCAATTACCTTAAAATACGACCTCCTTAAAATATTAAGTACTCCTAGTTTTACCCTGAAAGTACGGGTTGTAGCATCTTTGGTTCGTTTAACCTCCAGCCCTCAAAATACTTCCTTACCACTTGTTTTAACCCATCGTTATCTTTGTAAAGGTCCTTAACCTCTCCGGCTCATATTCTAACATGAAAGTACGGGGTGTAACATGAATTTTGATAAGTAACAAGGATTTTATTAATGCTCCCACCGAAAGAAAATGATAGAATCTAGTTACAAAAGCGCGTTAACACTTCACATCGTGTAATGTACTCGATGTAACTCAGCTTCAACATCATTCACATTTGCCAAGTTACACCAAGAAGAAACAACTAATTTTTACTCATAAAAGTTGGTTTAAAGCCATTAAAGCCCATCCTCTGTTAAATTTAATACAGAAACTTTGTTTTAATTTTTCCAAATGTTAAGCGTAGTACTTTAT